CTGTCATTGTTGTGTACTTCCCTATCGGCTGAGTGCATTTCAGACTTCAAACATATTTCATGTCATCATCACTTTGCTAATGATCCATCGCTGGTTATTTAAGTTTATACATTTATTTATTAAAAAGGTGTGAATTTCATATTATTCTATATTGACAGCTCATACAAATAATTATCAAGTACAGAATAGAGGGTTTACCAAATCAGAATTTAAACACTTACCAATAAATGTCCGTACACACCTCCTCTCGCCGTACACTTCCCACAACTGTGACGAGAAAGAGATAAAAACAACGAATGAACACAGACATAAACACACATCTAATTCAATCAGCAGAATTAATATGCATTGTGGGTGGATCGAGATCAGTTTTAAAGCGTACAAAAGCAACACGGTACAATGGATAGAGTGCTGGTTTGACAATGACACAAGCAAATCAAAACAATGATTAAACTGCATCATTGAATCACCGAATGAGAGTGTGTATTTCCACTCATAAGCCTCTGAGATGCTTATAGTGTAGAAATGTGATTATTTACCTTGATCTTACAGTCCATGGAGGACGAGAGCAGAAGATGACCAGAGCTAGGAAATAGTCGGATGGCACTGACACCCTGTGAACAAAAGAAGACATGCAATCATGAGTAAGCTACTCTGACTAATCTTTACAGGTCCAAACACCATCGGTGAAGCAATACCATTTGACATCAGTGTGATATTTAATCAGCTCCTACAGGAGACATTAGTAGTTTAATCATCATATTGAGTGCAGGCAGAGTGTCTGTGCAGAACACTCTGCTCCGTATTAATCAGAGAAATTTGGATAACTTCCAAGTTATTAAACTTTCCCCAACAAATGTCATAAAACTTGGGGACACCGTGCGGGCAATCCTCCATCTATTATCTCGACATCAGCACATCCAGGCGCTTATTAATCTTTTCAAAGCGCTTTGCGTTTCAAATGAGACTCTGAAGGCTGTAACTTCCTGCACGAAGCGGATAGGGGCCAATTTAAAACTTGAGTGATTTCTCTCTCCCTGAAGCACACGGGCAGATCTGACACTTGAATCAGATCTCTCTAGGAATAACCCAGTGTTTGCTTTTACATTTGAATTCTAATGACTGTGTTTTGAAAGAAACTGAATAATCTTGGATATGTCAGGGACAATTTGCTTGTATATGGCTTTGTTATCATTTTATTCAAAAGTACTCAGGAGACTTTTACTGTCTGCCTCATACATTCTAACAAGGACTGCATAATGGAATATTCTCTATGTATGCAGACACCTGTTTGACACTGCTATCATTTCACATTCAGAATCATTTTAAAACAACATTTGAATACTTATCTTTAGTAAAAACCTGATTTGAGAATACTTATATATGCAAGGTTTATTAACTGGTACACAAAGAGGCCATTAATGTACACAAAGACACAAATGTATCTTTGTCTCTTCCCACTGACCTTGGTGTGTCCGGACCAGACATGAATCTGTTTCTTAGGCAGGTAACATTTGTCCGGAGCCTCGGAAGAACGCAGGTTGATGCCCACATCCTGTGGGACGTGGAGATAGGACCTGCCCTGGTAATCATACATGTCTTTAACTGGGGGGGTGAACAAAAAGAGACAACAAATAATTACAAAACAATCCTGCAGCATTTGGATACAAGTTTAAAAAGGGACACCTGGCTCTTGGATGTGCTAATTTTTACAAAAAGTCTTATAATACTAAAAAGGAAATGTTAAAATCAATCATTCCAACTAGGTAAACTTCATCTTCCAAGAAAGACTGTCCATACCATGGAGAACAGTTTTCTCTTCAGCAGGAGCTTCTTCCTCGCTCCTGCCCTTCTTCTGCCTCTTGGCTGTGATCTCATCCAGCTCTTTCTGCTCTTCCTATAAAATAAAAACAATTCACAATCTGATATTTACCAAGCATATTAGTTATGGGAGACATCACTGAAGATATGACGTGCCAAGTTAAGTCATGTTCTCACATATGCATGCCATAGCGCTTTTTTGGTTAGGTTAAACAAAGCATTACCTCTGATGGTTTGGCCCCGTCTTTCTCATCTATAAATTTCGCCCATGGTCCAAGGAACTCCTCAATTTCTCCTGCATCTCCACCTTTGATCTTTTTCCTTTTCTCTGTCTTCTTTGTTCCACTCTCAAACACAGTGAGCCCTGGAGGAAGAGACACCACACATTATCATTGTTAATCTCCTCAAATAGGTACTTAAATAAAGACAGCTGCAGGTGAACACTTTATAAATAAAGTGAGATGTACCTTTATTTTTCTCCGCCTCATCCACTGCGCCAATGTAGCTATTAGTGGTGGGAGTTACCTGGTGTGTGTCAACTGATGGATCTAAAGCATAACCTATGGATAGAGAGGGGAAAAGGTCATTCACATTCAGGGTCAATACATTGACTGCATCATTTAAACCACAGAGGTCATAGATGAGCTTACCAAAGGTGGAGAAGGTCCTCCTTTGTGATTCAAACATGAAGTCGTTGAGGTGAGCAGGTTCTGCATAGCCAGATAACATGTTCCTGGGGGCGGACATCTGCTGGCTTTTAAACGGGTTCATCGGCCCTAACTGAGAGGAAGAAATACAAAATCATTAATAACACAACCTTTTAACGAATGGACCCTCGCAAAGGAAATGGTGTTCAAACATGTTCCTCATACATACATTTCTAAGCATGACTTCAATTCCAACCGACTTATTTAGTGATTTATTAACCATATTTTACATGGATCAAGAAATAAGTACAGCACTAGATTGATTCAAATGAGAAATTGCAGCATTAAACGGAAGAAATACGGATAATGGAGGAGATGTGACATAAAAATTATCATTCTTTTTAATCAGAAATTATGTATTTGTGTGACATTTTGAATATTAGAACTGGTTGATATTATCACATATAAGTATTATCTTGGATATGGTAGTGCCAAGCTGGTAGAGGCATTTGTCATTTGTTTCTCAGCTATAGAAAACACATAGAAATGTATGCAAAAAAAAAAAAATGTCTTTAAAATTCACGTTTAATATTATTTTACTGCACTTGACCTATCCCTAGATGTCATTTACTAATTACCAAACTTACCTCTGGTGCAAACAAGGTTTCATATGTCGGGTTAAACGTGACTTCTTTCAATGAAGGGTCCAGGTGTGTGCCAGTCTCCACCGCTTCCTGAAGAGAAGAGGTACCAAATGAATCTCACTGTTTGACTCACAGCACATTGATTACAACATTGATGTTTTCGTGTACAAGCTGTGTTTTCATAATTCACATTTCATTCAGTTGTTCAGGTCTATACAATCATTAACAGTACATTTCAATGTTCTCTTCCGGCCTTCTGTAGTTTAAAATGAAATCATAAATCAATGTAGTAAACATTTTGTGGAGAGGCAGGACCTTTAAACTAGCTATAAAATAAATTATGAACAAGAACAAGACGTTTATGGGGCTGCAGCTCAATAATACTCAAACAACGGGGGCATTCCACTTGAGACAAATGATGGTTGTATTTGTTTAACATACATTAACCATCTTTTAAAAAAGCTTCCCTGTTGCCGTTTTGGTACTAGCGGCTGAAAAACTACATCAAGCCATTTCAAAAACGTCATAGTTATGAATGAACACAGTTAGTCGGTACAACATGAGACCAACATGCAATGATCTTTGCTCTACCCCTAAAGTTTCCCGCTAATCGCTGCTGGTTTTACTCGTGACGTTTACAACTTACAACTCCACACAGAAAATAGTTATTCATAGAGTCTCTTTCGTTATCAATTGAGACAGTTCTTCTCATTATTATATTCAGGCATTGCGTGATTTATAGTAGCTAACTTTGACAAACTGATTTCAACGTTTAGCTAACGTTAGCTAGCTTTGTTAGCTTACCTTAACGGCGACCTCGGGAGCGAGATCGAGAAGAGCTACAGACATTGTGGGTGCAGACTTGAGAGGTTTAAGGTGAGCCGTGGCATCCGGGTCTGCTGGGTCCACTTTCTCAACACCAGAATTTGATTCGGACTCATTTTCGGAATCAGAACCGCTATCGTACGAAACGAGGGAAGCTACGGTGGCAGCCATCTTGGATGTTGTGAATTCGCCGGAAGCAGATGGGCGTTACTTCCGTTGTGAAAAAACACTTTTTTTTTCATCCGAACATGTGACATTTACACGAAAAAGAACATTTATAAAAGGGCTTGACCCTGTCACTATTAACAGAATGCTACATTCAACATGGTAGCAGGACATGAGGTTATTAAAAATAGTTTAACAAAATAAGAGAAAAACATGAATAAAATAAAAATATGACAACTTTGCTTCCCGACGAGAACATAATAATAAATAGCAGAAACAGAGTTTTTTAGGTTAAATAAAATTGAATTTGAAAATAACAGGTATACAGTAATGCTGCTTTTGAGCAAACCATAAAGTGCAAACATTTCAGATACAAAAATAGAGCTGCAACAATTAGTCAATACATTGATTGGATGGTATGCAGATAATGAGGACTAATTGCTCACTTTTGATAAATGATCATTTAGTCATTTCTAAACACAAAATCCTCTCTGCTTATGAAATTCGAGGATTACCTTTGACCTAATTAAATGTATTTTGACCAAAGTGACACTTTGACTATTTTTACATATGTATTAAACAATTGATACAGAAAGATAATTGATTACGATACATATCAATCGTATTTATCTATGCTTGATATAAATATTGGTTGCAACATGATCTGCTATATTGCTCAGTATCGTCATTGAGTTTTGCAATTTATTATTTAATGTTGTCAATGTGATACCATCAAATCATTGTGCAAGACATTAATTAATTATGATGTGATTTGTATGTACAGTGAGGGTTGAAGTAATCTCTGAAATGGATTGGACAGCACAAAATGACGGTGTGTGATAACTAGCCAATACAGCATGCGCGCATGTTGACCGAGAGCCTCCCACGAGCACAGCAGCAGTTGCATGGAACGCTTTCTCGCGCCCTAACAATAGAGTGGTAAGTACCATTATCACCGGTTAAAATGGGGACATTTTCTTGTGAATAAACGTCAATTCTGACCGGTTACTTTGGAGAGAATATTTTTGTCGCATATGGGTAAAACTGACGGACATTTTTGTGTTGCGAAAGCTGTTGTTTGCCTGACCGGACCAGGTTTGATGCCAATTTCAACTAAATCTACCGTGAGACTCCCTTTGGAAAAAGGTGCCTGGATTCTCCGCCGCCGCCGCCGCCTCTTCCACCAGGAGTACATTTGATATCAGAGACAGTACAATCATGGATCCGACCCGGGGATTTAAATTCTTGGACACGGTGGCATGCTCTGCAGCTCAGTGAGGATGGGAAGAAAATAACAGGATTTTTAACAAACGTATCAGGTAATTATTTGAACACTGTGTACTGAAGTCGCATTTTTCACTTGCAAATGTGACTTTAGTAAGGTAACGTTATTGCACCTCTGCAAAACAGCAACAAACTGCCTTAAAACCGAGTCACCATGTTGTAACCATAGACTAGATATTTACCGGAGCGGATGGACTAATAACGGTCTTAGTAATAACACACTGCCTGGTCGTCTCTGACCGCCACATTATTAACCCGGTACACAGGTGACTAATGTGGCAGTGTTGACTACGTTAAGACGCCGAAGTAGTCCAAACCGTTAAAAGTACCAACATTATGTTGAATAATAAAACATGAACGAGACACTTTCCAACGGGACCGCTTGTAGGCTGATACATTGCAAAGCTCCACATCTGCAGGAGCTCACGCAGCAGCGCCTTGACATATTCAGTCCTAGCAATATCATGTTGGTGAGAAACCGGAGAGCAAATATTTGCATGGGATTGCACACTATCTAACGTTATAGAAACATGCCGCATATCTCATCTTGCAGGTTACATTCTACTTGGGGTCGTGGAGTACCAGGTTGGTACAGTAAGATCAGGCGAACCGCTGGCACGACCTGATTTAATTTTCCCACTAATAATGCATTGACTTGCCGAGAGGATAGGGGCTGGGGTCTATTCCAGCACCGCTTGGTTTGCAGTCATGGGGGATGGTAACCTCCAGCCCAGTGAGAATCATGCTTTGTGAAATTCGAAACCTTCTTTGTACTACTTCAAGTACAGCAAGAAAAGTGGGCATGGGGAACAGTGTTGGTGATCAGCTATTATAAATGGTGATTTTGATTCGTCCTATTACATGAGGCCAGCTCGTGTTGTGCTCTTCATTATAGGGCTTACATTAAATTGACCACCTTTTCTGCAGCATGTCCATTTAAACCCAATCAATGAGAGGGTCATAGGATGGTGCAGGAAACACTCTTGTGTAAATTGAAGCAAGCAATATATTTCATGGCTTGTCTTCAAAATGCAGTAGTAAAATAAAAGCAGCAAGTAGTGGAAATTAGTGTCAAGATCTATGGTTGGTGATGAATGAATCATCAGCTGCAGGGCCATTGATACAAGTAGGTACTTTATACTGCGTTCCTGCTGCTTTGAGAGTTGATCAGCTTGTGCCTGTGATGTATTAAATGTAGAAGGATGTAGATGGTGTAGTGACGGCATGCAATATGTATGAGCAAAATGATTTTACTTATTCGATTACTTTATAATTAAGTTAAGTAATTACTTTCCCCAGATCTTTGTGTATCTCAAGAGGAACTGCTTTAAGTCTAGACAACATGTCAATATCAATAAACAGAAACAGCTGATCCTTAAAACTAAATTTAGCAACACAGCTCTTCACACCACACTATCTGGACTGTGAGTCAATGGAATTTCGTAGAAAACATTATCTTTCATTTGTCCCTTTAAATTGTTTTGGTTAAATAAATAATAGGCAGAACTTGTATGAATTATTGTGTGAGCTTGATAATAAGCCTAGATTGTTTATGTAGAAAGTATAAAGGTCTGTATGTGTAAGCAGCCCTGGACAAAATACTCTGAGAGTCCTTGCAGCTGTTACATTTATCAGTCTGTAACAGTGGCATCCAAACTATCACATGACTGGGTGGAAGCTATAGCTAAGTTTCACAACAGCTCAGAGGGAGCTTATATGTGCATACAATATTTGCCATATGGGATGAATTTGGAGTTGCCTTCTAAACATTATCCAATGCCCAAAATGTCATTTTCAGGACCAGTGATCAAATTCCCCCCCGCTCAGCTCTGAGTGGATGTATGTTGAAGTATGCCTGCTGTGGCTTGGAATCTCTGCTTCTGTTTTGTTTGAGGCAAGTTCTCCCCAAGTGGGTTACCTCCTGGGGCTTTGTTAGTGTATGTGGTATTTTTAAGCTTGCTGGGAAACAATAAACAAAGGTGAAAAGAAGTTGAAGGGTCTATCCACACAGCCTGCTCCATGATACAAGGATTTAAATAGGGCTCGGTTTAGCTACAGGTGTGTTCCAAAAATAGAGCAGAACATATTGCCTTGGTTTATCTGATGCTGTTTGCAAACTTTTAGCTGTGAGGGATGACATTCCTGCACAGTTTGCAGTTCTTGTTGGTTATTCTCTGTGTTTCAGAAGCCCTTGTGATATAGAAGAGCTTTGGCATGCCTCCTGCTGAGGCTTTTGGACCTCTCTTATTTGTTGACATTGCTCTGATCCTCTGCCAGTCCTTGGCTTTCTCATGCTAGCAAGAAGAATATCTCTCTTTCTGTAGCTCTCTTTTGTATTTTCGCAGAGGTGGCGGGGGGGTGATTGGAGGACACACAGAACAACATAGGGCATAATGAAAGAGCTTGTAGAGAGAAAAGAAGACATGGGAGTAAAATGAGTGATTGCTGCCTGGCATGAGGAGGTGGTGGGAAGAAGGTGGGCCACGGTTTCTGGGAAAGACAGACAGAGAAAATGAATATGTGTCTTACGCCCCTTTACGTGCCATTTAGTGGAGCCACAGACAGACCTCCTATCTCCCAGCTGTTAGGATGCTCCAGAGTCTCCGGCACACAGCGCCTATTGTTCTTCTTCTTGGCCAGGCCCACTGCTCTATAATACTGCCTCTGTCCCTGGGCTGACAGAGGGACACCAGGGCTCAGTTAGCCCGTCTGACTGGGGCTCCTTGTGCTGTTCCTGCCACCACCTCCGTCCCTGCTTTGTCCCTAGATCTGTCCATTCTTGGTTGTGACTTAAAACCCTCTCGTAAGACAAGCTCAGATAAAGTAAGCCCTGACTTTTTCTCTTAATCTTGCATTTTCCACTGCTCTTCTCTACATCTCCAGGGATAAGAGTTGTCATAGTGTGCCTAATCTTGTCACAACCCTTTAAGCGACAGTATAAACCTGTTTAACTTTAATATAACAACTTTGATGAGCAGGTGAAATCATCTTTTGGGAGTAGTGTCTGAGGCTTTAGGCACAAAGATAATTTGGCACATCTAGATCATATTTAATTTTGTATTCAACTCCCGGTGTTTTACGGAGTTGAATGATAATAAACAGAAAGCATTTGGCTGCTATGTAAACTTGCTCCAACTGCTGCTAGCAGGTACTGCTGCCGGCTAGTTAGCTGTTTGCTCAGTTAGCCACACTTTAATGACTGGGAGCTTGAAGCTCTGAGGGTGTTAGCACAGGAGTTTTGGATTGCTGTACAATATCTCTGAACAGAAAATCTTATCTGCCCTCTTATCATTGTTATCTTCCTGTCTCAAGTTGAAAGTGTCGCCAGTAGTTATTTTCTTCTTCCCTTCTGTCACTTGCTTTGTATTCTTTCAGTCTGTTTGCCTCGATATATACAGCATCCTTGCTCATTGTGATGACCTCTGCTCCAACTAGCTAGACCCCAGCTGCTGTTTGAATGCATGCAGTATTTCTGTCACTCACCACCTCACTTTAGGCTCTCATGTATTTCAGAAAGAATGAGTCTTGCTTTTATAATGTTCAGCCTAGCAGGTATTTAGCTTGTGCCAGTTGCAGCTTTGAAAATAGAAAGGGTATGATCATGCTGTCCATCTTTTAAAACATATTTGTTAAGCTGAAAAACGTTAGTGTCATTACAGTCTAGATGTGGTTCAGCAGATAACACACAGGCCAAAACAGGAAATAAGAAGATACATATCAGCTTTAAATATGTAGTTTCCAGAGGACTCTCAACTAATACGCTTAATGGCTGTTTCCTGCAAACTGAATACAAATGTCCTCTCGACTCATCAGCCAGTCATCGCCAGGTATTTGGGAAATGGAGCACCAAGGTGTCCTGTAACTGACCTGTCTTATTCTTTAGCTGAAAGCCAACATCAGCTTCACAATGGGATGAACTCTGAGGCCACTCCCCAGGTGTCATGTGATTGTTTGGATGGTAAACGTAGTCTGATACTTTGCTCAGCACAATGTAACCTCCGCCTGCTCGAGGAGTGAATTGTATACAAGGCTCCCTTAGCTGCTGGCCTCACTGACAGTATAGGTGTGTTTGTGTGTCATATGTACAATGACTCTAGTTAGGGTGTTGTGTTTGTATTAGCAAAACAACGTTCCTGCCCATTTCAGGTCACAGTGTATTTCTGTGCTGTGCATCATTTCGCTCTAAATGCCGCCAAGTGACATCAAAACGATCCCTGCAGCTGCACTCAGAGCATGTGCATATTTGAATATATTTGAATATACAAAGTTGAGCAAAACACTGGACTCCCCCATACAGTAGCTCTCCATTTTCCTGTCACTCGATCTCTTTCAATATATATGCGCTCTTTTCCTCTCCCTTGATTTCTGCCTTCCCTCCCTTTCACTGATGGGTTCTCATTGAGCTGGAACGGCCGATGCACCGGTCGTCGTGGTGATGTGGGATGATTGATGGAGGCTAGAGAAATGGGAGGAAAGGCATGTCGTTTATCCAGTCCGCGGCTCGAATCCCCCGTGTCAGGACTGAGAGGTCCGTATTCAATTACAGACACGCTGCTTTTTCATTAGGATTTCCATAAGCACTCATTTTTCTCCTCAGTTCCTTCCCCTGCGCTGGGTCGAAGAACAAGGGGAAAGACAGTGAAGGATTAGAAGCAAGAAAAGTAGAACAAAAAACATGCAATAGGCTTTTTCTTCACATAGGCATATGATGTACCAAACAATCACTTACAGGGATGCATTATATATATATTTACAGCATATCAAGGCTAAATGATCAGCATGATACGTGGCATTTAAACACTCAGATACAGAAGGCGGTGTTACTCACCTTTTTTAAAGTTGGTTTGTGATCCTCCAATAAACACGGCAAGAGCAGCAGACTCACCAGAGAGCCAAACATGGAGTCTCTGGTGTGGAATGGATGCTTTTATACAGTTTCAAAAGAAAAGGCAACATGCAATTTAGAGTACGAGAAGTGGCATTACTGTTCTTTTGTTAGTTAGATTTGGTTAGGTCAGAGCTATGGAATATTAAA